CGCCGGCCTTGCAGGTCCATTGCCGGGCCCCTCATGGGGCTCGGCAGTGGAGCTGCAAGGCCGGCGGTGGCGGCCGGGACCGTTGGGGGCGGGGTGTGTGGCCTTATGACGCACTTCCGGTGATGTCAGGGGGTGTGGCCTTATGACACACTTCCGGTGATGTCAGGGGGTGTGGCATATGCTAATGAGTTATGCTAATGAGTCTCCCTAGCTCTTTTTCTACGAAACGACCCCTGTGTGTGTGTGTGCAGTCTGGGAAAGGTGGGGTTTGAGAAGGAGAGAGACCTCTCTGGTGCTGTCTTGGTGGACCACTGTAGGGTTGGGGAAGATTTGGGGATGGAGATTTGGGGACGGAGCCTGGGAAGGGCAGGGTTTGGGGCAGGAGCAGGGTATCATGCCATAGAGCCCACCCTCCAAAGCAGCCATGTCCTTCCAGGGGAACTGATCTTGGTCGTCTGGAGGTTAATTGTAAAAGAGGGAGATCTCCAGGTGCTACCTGGAGGCTGGCAACCCAGGACCACTGCCATTCCCCCCATAGGAAACAGTAAGGGGAAGTGTGCTGAGGGCACTGACTTCAGAGGTCTATAAAAAGAAACCCATCTGTCATTTGTGCATGGAACTTAGGGGATCTTTAGGTTACCGTGAGGACCATGTTCTGGACAAATTTGGTGCCGTTATCTTTAAAAGTAGCTGCGCCAGACCCTTGAGTTTGTTCCCCCATTGAAATTGGCCAGGGATCCTGGAGGTTTTTTGTCATCTTCTGGACGTGGAACAGCGGTCACTGCGGGTGTGGAGGGGGAGGTATTTGTGAATCCCACTGAGAGAAATGCGGCTTCTGGCTGGGGGATGGGGACTGTCAGGAGCAGCAGGAGAGGAGCATCGTGGGCACGGCAGCAGGAAGAGGGAATTGGTGGGAATGACCCCGTCCTTTGCCAGTGGAAAACTGAGTCAGGATCCAGTCAGCCATGTCTCACGGCAGAAGGGACACTAGAACTTGCCTTAGGGGTCTCTGGCATGTGTTTTTGCCTTGCCTGAATATTGTCTCTTGTGTAGGTAAGAACGCAAAGAAAGAAAAATCGAATCATGAGTTTAGCCAGCAAACGTTCATGAAACCCACTGCCCAATTTAAAACCGGTTTCTTCTTTCTGGGATATCACATTTAAAAGGCCAAGTTAAAAATCAGTTTTATGCTTATTGACTCTCAGGGCTGTAAAAAAGGAACTGGGTTTCTAGGAAAGACTTGCCCACGCCTTCATAAGAGGCTGACTGACAGCCAAGGATTTGTAGCAAGAATTCAATCTTTTAAAAGTTGAGGTTCTGCCAGGAGGTCACCGGGAAATGGACTAAGCTTGAGCTACCAGAACAATAGGCAGCCAGGATCCTGGAGTGGACCTATTGATTTAGAGTTGCAATGGAAAATAGCCTATCACGGGGAGTGTGTGTGTGGGGTGTGTGTGTGTTGTGCATGCACATAAGCCGGACTCCTGCCCTGCTAGAGTTGTCTTAGAGTTAAGCTGAAATCACGAATAAACTATGAGCTGATCACTACATGCGTCTCGAACCCAATATATTGCAGCTTCTAATGCCAAAACACTCTGGGAAGCCCTTAAGGCCTCTTGTTTACCTGCCCGGGGTGGGGAATTGCCAGCCTCAATATCCCACCTCCAAGGATCTGAGGAGCAGGAGAGAAAAAAATGGATTCTGCATAACAATGCTCCAAGAATTTCCCCTAGCTTCTATAGTGAACCCTGTCACCTGAAGTGACATCATATCCCCCAAACGCTGCCCTCCCTAGGGCAGCATTGGGAACCCGAGTAAAGCCAGTTTCAGACTGATTTTGTGTCGCTGCCCACAGGTGCTGCATCACAGTGGCCTCCGTTGAGCTATCGGATCCCCTGCTCTCCCCCAGGACTGTCCTTTGCCTCCCAACGCGTGCAATATTCCCTCTTCAGTGCTGTCCCCTTCCCACTCTTCAGCATCTATAGGCTCTGATCTGGATGGCCCAGGCTAGCCTGCTCTTGTCAGATCTTGGAAGCTAAGAGCCAGCTTGGTGCAGTGGTTAAGTGTGTGGACTCTAATCTGGGAGAACCGGGTTTGATTTCCCACTCCTCCACTTGCACCTGCTGATGTGACCTTGGGTCAGTCACAAGCTCTGGCACAGCTGTCCTTGAAAAAGAGCAGTTTGTGTCAGAGTTCTCTCAGCCCCACCCACCTCACAGGGTGTCTGTTGTGGGGAGGGGAAGGGAAAGGAGTCTGTAAGCCGCTCTGAGACTCCAAGTGAAGGGCGGGGTATAAATCCAATCTCTTCGTCTTCTTCTAAGCAGGATCAGCCCTGGTTAATTCTTCAATGGGAGACCACCAAGGAAGTCCATGGTCACTACACACAGGCAGGCAATGGCAAACCACCTGTGTTTGACTTTTGCCTTGAAAACCCTGTGTGTAGGGGGGTCACCATAACTTGGCTGTGACTTTCCAGCACCACTTTTACAGAACCAGAAGCAAACGTGAAAAATTAGGGTTTCCAGGGCTTGAATGTGGAATGTTCTGGTCTGTGACTTGGCTCTCACCTAGTGAGCAACCAAGGATTACGTGTCCTCAGGCAGAGAAGCGAATATGGAGGATAGTCCTGCTCTGGTGGTTGGGAAGGTGGCCATCTGGGATGACTAGGCTTGATATAAATGCTAGAAGCAGGGTTGCCGGTGGCAGCCCCAGTAGGAGCAAAAACGGAGGGCGTGGAGTGATGTCATCCAACACTGCAACATCATTTGTAGTTGTACTTGGAAGTGACGTCACAATGCACTAGGAATCCCCCCATCTCTGTAGTAAAGCCATAGCAATTTGGGGGGTTCCTGACGCATTGTGACATCACTTCCCGGTACAACCAGATGTGATGCTGGGCCATTGGTTTCCACTCCCACCTCCGATTTTTGGCCCTGCTGGAAGAATGGTGGCAGAAGCTGGGAGACCACCCACCACGATAGGCAATCTGGTAAGCCTCGTTAGAAGCCCGGCCCTCTGTCTCTCCACGGTCAACCAAGGAGTTCTCTTCCAGCTCTCAGCTCAGATAGCTGACCTCTGCTGCGCCGTCCGGACAGCGCAGGGTCTGGATCCGGACTCAGATGCAGCCACCTACAGCCCTGAAGAAAATGGCATCCTCACCTTCTGGAAGGTCACAGTAAGCATCCGCAGAATGACGTCCGGATTGAGTTCCTGTTCTTTAGCCTGAGACAAGGAAACAAGCCACCAGAAGACTTAACAACACGTTACACCTCAAATGTGCCACAGACATAAGAAAAGAACATAAGAGACGCCAACGTTGGGATCAGGCCAAAGGCCCATCCAGTCCAACACTCTGTGTCACACAGTGGCCAGAAATACCAGTGCCATCAGGAGGTCCACCAGTGGGGCCAGGACATTAGAAGCCCTCCCACTGTTGACCCCCCCCCCCCAAGCACCAAGAAGACAGAGCATCACTTGCCCCAGAGCCCCTAGCTATACCTTGTGGCTAAGAGCCACTGATGGACCTCTGCTCCATATGCTTATCTAATTCCCTTTTGAAGCCGTCCATGCTTGTAGCCGCCACCACTTCCCTCCTGTGGCAGTGAATTCCATGAGACATCTCATGGGTCCAGTCTTGCAGCCCACCTGTGATGCGGGTGGAATTGTGGAGCAGTTATTAGCATAAGTGCTGTCAAGCTGCAACTGACCGACGGTGACTTCCCCCAGCAAGGGGCTTTCAAGGCAAGGTGGTTGGCCGTTGCCTTCTTCTGCAGAGTCTTCCTTGGTGGACTCCCATCCAAGTATTAACCCTACTTAGCTACCGAGACCTATCGAGATCAGGCTGTACAATGCCATCTTCCCTGCCTGTGGAACAACCGCCTAATGCTTATACATGCAGATATTTAGTCTGGTGCCAAGTTGTATTCTATGACCCTCTGGTCTCCATTTTGTTGGCATTAGACTCTATAGCACCCTGACCTGGATGGCCCAGGCTGGACCCGATCTCATCACATCTTGGAAGGGTTGTCCCGGGTTAGCAGTTGGATGGAAGACCACCAAGGAAGTCCAGGGTTATAATGCAGAGGCAGGCAATGGCAAATCACCTCTGAACACCCCTTGCCTTGAAAACCCCACGGGGTTGCCACAAATTGGCTGCAACATGACAGCATTTTTTTAGAGAAGAGAGATTGGATTTATACCCCACCCTTCACTGCCCAAAGGGGTCTCAGAGCACCTTACAATCCCTTCCCCTCCCCACAACAGACACCCGGTGAGGTAGGTGGGGCTGCGAGAGCTCTCTTGAGACCTGCCCTTGAGAGAACAGCTCCGAGAGAACTTGTGACTGACCCAAGGTCACACCAGCAGCTGCATGTGGAGGAGTGGGGAATCAAACCCAGTTCTCCCAGATTAGAGTCCGCACTCCTAACCACTACACCAAACTGGCCTTTTATTACCAGTCTCTATAACCCACCCACATAGGGTTGCCAGGTCCCTTCGAGATGCCGGCAGGGGGGTGGGAGGATGCTCTGGGAGCCGGAAGCGTCACCCCCTGATGTGCCAATGTTACTGGAAGTGAGGTCGCGCTCCATACCTACGTCACTTCTGGGTGATGTAGGCACATTGGGGGTGACGCTCTGGTTTTTGGGCAAAACTCTATGGTAAAATCGGCCTCAAAGCATAGAGTTTTGCCCCAAAACCAGAGTGTCACACACTGTCACCGACCTCTGGGTGATGTAGGCACATCGCTCCACATGCTGTTGAGGGGGAGTCTGCAAAAGCAGGGGACCCCCCGCTCTGAACTGGGGACTGTCAACCCTCCACCCTTGTGTCCCAACAATTTCAGATAGCTATGGCCAACCCAGGGGTCATCTCGTAGAAAAAGAGGTGCAGGAGCTCATTAGCATAACTCATTAGCATAACTCATTTGCATAGGCCACACCCCCTGACGTCACCGGAAGTGTGTCAGAAGGCAACACCCACCGCTCAGGCTCCACTGGACTGTTTTGGATTGCTAGCTATGGGGGGGGGGGACGTGCAGATCTGTCCTTGCAGAGGAGGGAGAGCTTGTACCTGAATAAGACTTGGTATTAAAGGTGCCACTGGACTGTTTTGGACCAAGGGGTCGGGCGGGCTCTGCAACTTACCTGGCTGCTTCTTGCTCTGACCGAGGGCTGCTGGGAGCAGGGGGTGGGGCTTGTTGCATGTGCCCGCCCCCTGGGCTCTTTATTGCCGGAGCTCCGCTCCTGTGCGCTCCTGCAGGAAATGACCCCTGGGCCGCAAACCAATGACTAAGAGCTGTTTCTGAGACAGCAATTCTAACAGGTCTGCTCAGGATTTTAATTGGGTCTATCCGATGGTGCTTACTCCCAGGAAAGTATTCTTAGGATTGCACAGTGAGAGAATCAGTCAACAGTTGTACGGGAATCAGTCAAACAGTTGTACGGGAATGTCAAAGGAGGATACATTAGCTAGGAGAATAGGCAAGCACCGACTACTTTGCATGACTGAATTGAAAACATGGAAGTACAAAAGCCGGCTAGCTCAGCAGCAGTGTCCAGGCATGAAGGAAAAGCCCAGAGAGAGATGATTCGACCTGGCCGGGTCAGCTTTTATGGCTATTATTCTAAATATTTCTGTTCAGTCAAAATGTTGGTCGCCATATCCTGTTATCTTGTTTCTCGCTCGCCTAACAGAAAGGACCTCTGGTGAATACAGCCAAGGTGGCAATTCAAAGGGATGTCCTCATCCTCTCAAGTTCCTGTTGTCCTTCTCTGGAACGAATTCTATTTTGGAAGTCCCTCCCGGACATACTTCCTCCTCACAGAGGCTTACGACTGATGCCTCTTCCTCTGCCCAGGTAAATTAAACTTTTCCATTATTCTTTGACCCCTATAATGACAGCAGCTCCTCAATCCTTCAACCCACGTTCACCTTCAGATCACATACACATATCTCGAGGCTCTAAAGAAGATAGATGCGGGGGGGGGGGGTAACCGTATTGGCCTGAAGCAACAGAACAGAGTCCAGTGGCACCTTTAAGACCAACAAAGTTTGATTTGGGGTGAGCTTGTTATTCCCACCCCAGTTGAACCCAAATGAATGATAGCCATAAACCAAGCCTGTTATTCTTTTAATCTGTTAAAAACTTCTCCGCTGTTTTGCATGCTAATTTACTGCCCAGCCTCTATGTGTATGACTGCCATTTCTAATTCCGTTTCATTGTCAGACAAAGTGGCAACTTCCACTTCGATGTATCTGAGGAAGTGTGCTTGCACAGGAAAGCTCATACCTCAAATAAAACTTTGTTGGTCTTAAAGATGCCGCTGGACTCAAACTTTGTCTTCTTGAGGGTCTAAATGCCCTTGTTTCTCCTGCTCCATGTCCTCTGCTTCCTGGACTCCTCTTGGATCTCTGATCTGAGATATGATCTAGATTTCTACTTTGGATCATTGACAAGATGGGCCTTTTGCAATTCCCTAACCTCTGAGTCGGTGGAGGGCTGAGGCCCCCTCAAATTATTGGCCTCCTGCACATTCTTATACTATCTCAGCCAGTGTTCCCTCTAAGCTGAGTTAGTGTGAGCTAGCTCACAGTTTTTTAGCCTCCAGCTCACACATTTTTGTCTTCGCTCAGGAAGGATGGCTCCAGTGCAAACTAATTTATGCAGTAACCAAATCACTCACTCACAACTTTAATGCCAGCAGCTCACAAAGTAGAATTTTTGCTCAGAAGACTCCACAGCTTAGAGGGAACATTGATTCTCAGCTAACATTCACAAAAGGATAGGAAACGTCTCTCTCCATCCTCCTTTCCGACATTTCTCTTTCTTTCCCCCTCTTCAACCATCTATTCTCCATATACTGTGGATAAATAATGTGTGAATGTTGGGACCGGGATTCAGTTATCTGTGGACTCCTTAGTATTTTGGTGCTGTAAGCGCAACTCACTAGAAAAGACAATAATGCTAGGAAAAGTTGAAGGCAGCAGGAAAAGAGGAAGACCCAACATGAGACGGATGGACTCAATAAAGAAAGACACAAGGGCCCTCAGCTTGCAAAACCTGAGCGAGGTGGTTAGGATGATAGAGGTATATAAAATTAAGCATGGGTTCGAGAGAGTTGACAAAGAGAACTTTTCCCTTCGAGGGCAACCCATGAAGCTGCTGGGCAGTAGGTTCGGGACGGACAAAAAGGAAATACCACTTTACACAGAGAGTGATTAAAATGTGGAATTTGCTGCCCATTCATACTACAGGATGGAGTGATGGCCACAGGAATGAGTCGCTTTAAAAAGGGATTAGCTAGATCCAGGGAGGATAAGTCTGTCAAGGGCTACTAACTGTGGTGACTGAGGGGAACCTCCACATTCAGAGGCACTAAGCCTCTCAGTCCCAGAGCCAGGAGGCAACCTCAAGGGAAGGCCTCGGCCTCTGTGCCCTGTTGTTGGCCCTCCAGAGGAGCTGGTTGGCCGCTGCGTGAGGCAGGATGCTGGACTAGATGGACCACTGATCCGGTAGGGCTCTTCTGATGCTCTTTCGGAGGTCATTAATTCATAGGAATTAATAAACCGGAAGCAGCTTGAAAGCACTTCACACACACACACACACACACACACACACACAAGCACAGTCAGTTTGAGGTTTCAAGGGGCCCTGGGCACAGAGTGGTCAGCCCCCCCTGCTCTGCACACCACCAGGATCAACTACAAATTACAGCTCCTTATAATATCCCACTTCTGGTGATGTCATCGTGGTGTGCGTGAGGACCTGGCAACCCTAAGACACGTGCAGCCAGGAAAAAAGGGCAAACGGGGTCACACACACCCCATAGCTGTTTCCGCTGGAGAAAATGGCTCAGGAGGGAAGCCAGAAGCCCCTCCTCCTCCACTGCAGCACTCTAATTGGCTTTGGAGGCAAACAGAGCAATGGAGCGCTTTAAAAGTAACTTCCCCCGTGACCGCATGTCCCAACTTGTGTCACACATAATGTCTGTTTTGGACCTGAAAAGTACGCAACCGGAGAGTGATTTCAGCAAAGCGTACTTTATTCTATCCGGAACAAGACTACTTTGGCCGGCTCGCAGGCCGGCTTATATCCCCCGAGAAACCGCCACCCAAAACACACACCCTACTTCCCTATAGGTTATTTACAGTGGCCGAGAGTCCCACAGGCTCTCGGCCGGGAACCTAGCCCCCTGATTGGAGCGGGCTAGGATCCGCATAGTCCATTGTCTCTTGGAGCGAAGCTCGGCATTTGTCTCTGGACTTGTCTGGACTGGATACATTACAGGACCTCAGTCAGCTGCTCCTTCCAGGGCAGGAGCGAGGGACAATGGAGGAGAAGTCTCTTTCTTGAGCTTTCCTATTTTGTGTGATGCTCTCCTGTTTGGGAAACAGGCTTATTCATGCAAGATGCGTGTCTGACATGTGGACAGACCACAGCTGTGGCATCTACCCAGTATCCCTACAGATGATAGCTTAGGGTTGCTGACATACCAAATGTCAACCAGTGAAACATCCATTTCCCTCCTTCAATCCAGCCAACATCACATCACCAAATCTGGGAATTTTAATGTTGTGCCCAATGTTCCCTCTAAGCTGAGTTAGAGTGAGCTAGCTCACAGTTTTTTAGCCTCCAGCTCACATATTTTTGTCTTCGCTCAGGAAGGGACGGCTCCAGAGCAAACTCATTTATGCAGTTGCCAAATCGCTCGCTCACAACTTTAATGCCAGTGGCTCACAAAGTAGATTTTTTTGCTCACAAGACTCCACAGCTTAAGAACATAAGAACATAAGAGATGCCAATGTTGGATCAGGCCAAAGGCCCAGCCAGCCCAACACTCTGTATCACACAGTGGCCAGAAATACCAGTGCCATCAGGAGGTCCACCAGTGGGGCCAGGACATTAGAAGCCCTCCCACTGTTGACCCCCCCCCCCCCAAGCACCAAGAAGACAGAGCATCACTTGCCTCAGAGCCCCTATCTATACCTTGTGGCTAATAGCCACTGATAGCTTAGAGGGAACATTGGTGGTGCCTAGGAACTTTTAATTGAAATCTCAGAATCCTTTGCCAATCTGTAAAGTCAGAATGAACCTGACAGGAAGGACGTTCAGATCACGCTAAAAGGAAACATCTCGGCTGTTTCGTAGTCTGCTTCTGCTCTGAGATCTCTGCTGTTTTATGTCTCTGTGCTTATTTCAGTGTAGGGTTGCGGCTCTGGGTTGGGCCATACCTGGAGATGGGGGGGGGGATTGAACCTGAAGAGGGCAAGGTTTGGGGAGGGGAAGCAGGGCCGGCTCACTCACTAGGCGAACTAGGCGATCGCCTAGAGCGGGCTGGCCCTTAGGGGCGCCAAACTGCACCCGGCCCCGTACTCTGGGAGTTTCTTGATTATTTGTGTTTTTCATTCTTCCTAAGATGCATTTATTTTTGAAAATTGGTGGGCGCACGGGGAGGGGGGCGCCAGAAGGGATCCCCGCCTAGGGTGCAAAATAAGCTGGGGCCGGCCCTGAGGGGAAGGACTTCGGTGGGGTAGAATGCCTGACAGGGTCCACCTTCCAAAGCGGTCATTCTCTCCAGGCGATCACTCTCCTGGAGATCAGCTAATCCCAGGAAATCTCCAGCCATCACCTGGAAGTTGGCAGCCCTATTTTAATGGTTTGATTATGTTCTTTTTGAATTGCTAATCTATTTTTTTAATTGTAAGCTGCCCGGGGCAGCGCTTTGGAGAGGTGGCATAAACGTCTCTGAAAAGAAATAAATACTTCCTCACATGACACAGCCGGAGGAATTCACTGACACGAGAGGCTGCGGGCGGTTTGCTTACTTTGACGGTCCTACGGAAGGAGTAGATGAGTTCACGGAGGAGAGACGAAGCAAACAACTAATGAGCAATGAGGACTAAAGGGACAAGGATCGGGGTCGGCGACCTCTTTCATCCTCTGCTTGTGAGCTTCAGTCACAGGCTGCTGGGTGGGTTCTGCCGGAACAGAAGGCTGGACTCGTCATAGGCAGGGTTGCCAACCTCCAGGCGGTGGCTGGAGATCCCCTGAGATTACAATGGATCTCCAGGCAACAGAGATCTATGCACCCGAAGAAAATGGCTGCTTGGAAAGGTGGATTCCCCAAACCCCACCCTCCTCAGGCCCCACCCGCCAAGTCTGCAGGCAGGGCTATTTTGGGGCAGGAACACACAGGAACGGAGTTCCGGCTGGCTCCCAAGTTGGCCACGCCCAGCAGGAACTCATTAGCATAATAGGCCACACCCAACAGCAGAAACTCATTAGGATTGGCTACAATTAGGGGTATGTGGCCTAACATGCAAAAAGCCCTGGGTTTTGACAACAAACAAGGTAAAGAGAATAAGAAGCAAAAGGTGAGTGTGGCTGGATGACCACACTTCTGGCAACATGGGGTGCGGCCTAATATGCAAATGAGCTGTGCTGTCAGGGTGTGGTCTAATATGCTAATGAGTTCCTGCTGTTGGGTACGGCCTATTATGCTAATGAGTTCCTGCTGGGCTTTTTCTACCAAAAAAGCCCTGTCTCCAGGGTATTTCCCAACCTGGAGCTGGCAACCCTAGTCATACGGTTATTGACTTCCAGGTGGAGCTTAGCTATATCCTAGAACTACAAAAAACTCTGTGAGCTGAATTACCCGCAAAAGTATATCCAATACTGCTTTGTGCTGTATTGTTGGCTGGTGGATATCCTGGAATTACAACTGATCTCCAGACGACAGGGATCAGTTTCCCTGGAGAAAATGGCTGCTTCGGAGGATGGAATCTATGGGATTAAACAGGGCTATTTTGGGGCAGGAACGCACAGGAATGGAGTTCCGGCTGGCTCCTGAGTTGGCCACGCCCAGTAGGAGCTCATTAGCATAATAGGCCACACCAGAGGTCATTTCGGGGGGGAACGTGGAGGATCGCAATTCCCCCGGGTGAGGTGCGGGGGGGCAGGGCACATGATGAAGCCCCGCCCCCTGCTTCCGGCCGCCCCGCTTCCAGCCCTCATTCAGCCAGGAGGACAGAAACTCATTAGGATTGGCTACATCAGGGGTGTACGGCCTAACATGCAAAGGAGTCCCTGCTACAAAAAAAGGCCCTGGGTTTTGACAACAAACAAGGTAAACAGAATAAGAAGCAAAAGGTGGGTGTGGCTGGATGACCACACTTCTGGCAACATGGGGGTGTGGCCTAATGTGCCAATGAGCTGGGCTGTCAGAGGTGTGGCCTAATAGGCGAAGGAGTTCTTGCTGTTGGGTGTGGCCTATTATGATAATGAGTTCCTGCTGGGCTTTTTCTACAAAAAGAGCCCTGGACCTTAATGAGGTTCTTCCCCTTCCCAAGCCCCACTGTTCCCAGGCTTCGTCCCCAAATCTCCAGAAACGTCCTAACCAGGAGCAGGCAACCCTAACTAGTTGGGATACGGCTTGATCCAGCAAAGCAACTTGTACATTAAGTACACTGCCAACTTACTTACTAAGAAACTCTGCTTCACATGTTCTCTCATGGTAGATTTTATGGACAGGCATGCTTAGATTTATTTAGGGATGCCAGCCTCCAGGTGGGACCTGGGGGATCCCCCGGAATTACAGCTCAACTCCAGACTAACAGATCCGTTCCCCTGGAGAAAATGGATACTTTGGAGGGTGGACTTGACGAATGGAACTTGTGTGAACTGCTGAGCAGAAGGCTCTCAAATCTTTACTGTCGGGGGCTGACCCAAAGTCTACTGTACCTGTAGTTAAGTTTCTGTGCTGCGCAATGAAAATACAGGCCGAGATAACGTCCTGTGTATCACTGACTCCAGTTAGGTAGGTAGGTAGTCAATTCTGTAACAGTGTTGTTGTTTTTTTCCTGCTTCTGTATAGCTTGTGGGATATAATAAAGACTGACTACTGAGAAATTCCAGTTTGTAATCCAGGCCAGGTTGACAGAACACGTGCCTTCGCTTTTATGAGGTCACCTGGCCAGGACTAAGTTGCTTAGCGGCCTGGACACACCGAGCCACCTCACCTGTGCTATGGAGAAGGGTCCAAAGTGCAAAGTCTCCTCCGCCAAAGGCCAGTAACGCTCGCATTTTTTCTAGAGACAGGAAAGCAAAGGAGGTTAGGCTGCATCTCCCTGTGGAGAGCACAAGTCCTGGAGTGCTAGGCACGCACTCTGTGGCTTTCCTGCCCGCCTGAAACCACCACCACCCTGCCGTCCAGTCTCACCTTGCCCATTTCCACTTCCCGGCAGGCCATGACAATCACCTGGAATGAGAGAACACACCGTGAAAGGGGAGAGAAATCCCACAGGGCTAGCTGTGTTAGACGAAACAGCACATAGCCTGTCATCAGGAAATATTGCTTTAGCCCAGGAGTCCCCAGCCTTTGTAAGCCTGCAGGCCCCTTTGCAATTCTAAGAATACAACAAGAGGACCACAGTGTAAATGGTAGAAAATACTAACACTAAAGCACCATGTCACAATAGCAACAATATAATCTTAGATCAACTCAAAATTTAGTTTTTTTCTATTCCAGAAAAAAAAAAGTTAAAAACCATAAACGAATAATAATATATGTATTAACAGCAGCTAGAATTTTGGTAGCTAGACGGTGGAAGTCGAAAGCCATACCATCTATAAGAGAACTCAAACACAAGATTCTGGATATAGCGGAGATGGATAAACTTAGCTTAATATTGAATAATAAACCAGAAGAGGTATTTTGGAAAAGATGGAAAACTGTATATGACTGGCTAAAACACAAGAAAAAAAAAGACTGAAATGTGATAAATTTCTAGTGGAAAAATGTACTTGAACAAAAGGAACTGTTTCTTTTTAATAGAGATGTATAAAACAAGAAACCATAAATGTATGGATTAAATATAATGTTAAGGTGAAAATATGGAAAATAAATTTACAAAAAAAAATTAGTTTTTTTCTATTCCAGTATAATAGTATTTTGAGGAGCTGCAGTGGCTCAAGTGGTTAAGATGCTGAACTGCAGGCTGTGGAAGGTTGGTAGTTCAGCAGTTCGAGACCCGGGTGCCGCATGACGGAGTGAGCTCCCGTCTCTAGTTCCAGCTCCTGCCAACCTAGCAGTTCGAAAGCAAGAAACTGCAAGTAGATAAATAGGTACCACTTCGGTGGGAAGGTAACAGCGTTCCGTGCGCCTCGGTGTTTAGTCATGCCGGCCACATGACCACGGAAATGTCTTCGGACAGCGCTGGCTCTTCGGCTTTGAAACGGAGATGAGCACCGCAACCCTAGAGTTGGACTTGACTGGCTTTCGAGCAAGGGAAACCTTTACCTTTACTATAATAGTATTTATGATGCCAATTTATTATATCACAATCACAATATAAATAAAGTACAACACATCCAAAGCATTCATAAATTACGACGTTTGCCCCGTAGGGTTACAAGCTGACATAGAAGTCTAGACGAAACGAAGATGCAGTGAAATTGTAAGATAAGAGCCGGTGTTGTTGACTCGCTTCTGCTGCCTTCCTCAGGTCTTACAGAATACAAGAAATCTATAATTCTAGCTGTGAATCTGGTTAGGCTGAGTGCCATGTTTTTGAGAATTTGAATGGCGATCCCCTCTATTTTCTAAGAGCGTTATTTGATGAATATACTGATGCTTTCAATACATCACATATCAACAGATTGAAAACAACACTAGAATTATGTATTTCTTGTACTTTCATTTGGCCAGGGTTATTTTTGGGCAGGAACGCACAGGAACGGAGTTCCGGCTGGCTTCCAAGTTGGCCACACCCAGCA